GCCTTACAATAACGTGTCAGACTCGTGGCGAAGATTTTAAACCGAATCGAATGCGCACGAATGTTACTCAATTCTTCTGAATTAAAATTAAATATTATTCTTTTGTTGCCAATTATTATACTTTATAGTAAAGATTGATATAGAATATGCTTATCATTTTATTCTTTTTCTTAATCATTATTAATGTCAAAGTAGTTGTATCGATCATAATTGAGAAATAAATTGTAGGGCAAGGGGTTAAGAAACTATATCTTGTGTTTTGTAATTATGGAGAAAAAATTGAAAGTATATATAAATATGTTGTCGAGGAAAAACCAGAGTTTGAAGGGTTACTCTGTTCTGTTAAATCTTTTCGGACTACAATATTATAAAAAGACATGACGCACAATTAAAATTTTACTTGTCATGTTAAATTTATCGAATATTCTGTTTTAGATCTTTAATATTCTACGTCACATAGGTCACGACAAACGAAACAGCCACGAGATAAGATTCTAATACACTCGTAAAAAATGTCGATAACTCAAAAATTTAGCTTCTTTTTTATAACTTTACAGATTTGTAGTGGATATTAATAAAAACATCAGACAATATTTATTTTCTTCTTTTTGGTTAAATTGTAAACACATTCTGAGTATTAATTCAACTAATATGACTACCTAAATAAGTGTAATTAACTAAATAAATATTTTCTATGAAGGAAAATTTAGAATTTCTTCGAACATTATTAATTTTTCATTTTTCCCTGTATTAGACTAAAATCTTTCCTTAAGTGTTATTGCGTATTTACCAATTTAAATTAACTTAAAACTATGAAATATATATTGCTATTTTAACAAGTGTTTTCATTTTTTAAAAATACCAATTGTATAGTTACTGAATTGTAAATATATTATTTGTCAAAACATTTGTCTAGGTAGTAACGGATTTATGCCGAAACGTCTCATTGTTTGTCCGGATGAAGTTTATAAACGAAACAGTTGAACAGCAACAATCCTGAGTTGCTTCGAATCCGCTACGTTCCCCTTAGAAATCGATGTAAGCTGACGCTAAATATAATTACTGTTCGCGCATTAAATTTTCAAGAAGCTTCGAGCTTCTGCTCGTCGCTCTCAATACCAGACTCCAATCCAACCTTATTATTTCTGCTCTCGAAGTCCGCTCGTTCAAAAACGTTTCCGTTCGGATATTACGAGATTTTCGAGAAAATAAGTCACCACGGAATCGTGAAAATCACTTGAGGCCACGGCTCATTTCGATTGCTACATAATTTTCGGGTGTTCGAAAAATGAAAGAATTCCATGGTAACTTTTATATAAATCGTCTTTACCGATTTAACCGCTTGCCTCTTTACCTCGAGTATATTTGGCATTTTTATTTGTGTTAAAACTTATCAACGCAAGATAATTTAGGATAATAATGTAGAAATTTCTGTTAACGTTATCTTTTCCATACTTATAGTTTTATGTATTCTTATGAATATGTTTCCCGTAATACGTTCAAGTATTGAAAAGTATGAATAACAAATTGCCAAATTTTTTGTTAAATTTTGGAAATTAATTGATAAAGCAAGCGATAAAAAGTAGCTCTCTTAACTCGAATCGATCGGGTGACGGCGGTGTAACGTTCCGAACGATTTATTTAACGATTTTCGATGCTGCACGCAAATAAATGTTGCGAACACGGTGTATGATGAGTGTGGAGGACAAATAAAGCAGCGGTGAAAATAGAAGTACGTAGACTGATATAGTAGAGTAACAAGAAAGGACTGATGCACGGCGGCGGCGTTAGAGCGAGTGAGCCAGAGACAAGAGGCGACTCGTGTGAATCCGTATTTCAGTCTCTCGTTGGTTGTGTGATTGCTATATTGGAAACCATTACTGGGACTAATTCAGTGACTATTTGGAAAGTTCGAATTGTTGAGAATGTGTGTCAGCAATTAGTCGATGATCTCGAACTGCAAGCTAATAATATTTATTTATTGTACAATTTATTTATTGTCAGTAATTAGAAAATGATCACGAATTACAATTTTAATTGTAATATTTATTTAGCATACACTGAGATAGATCAATTTTCGCGTAGATGGATGTTTGTATTATATTCTAAAAGTAATATTTAAAAGAATTTTAATTGATACTGAATAATTAAACTGAAGGTCAGTACCGAGAATAATTCAATGACTATTTGCAAAAGTTCGAGACGTTGAAAATGTGTATCAGGAATTATTCGATGATCTCGAATTACAATTTTAATTCTAATATTCATTTAGAATTAGTGAAAACGAAATTATTTTCCTATTAGTAAATAGTTCATTACCACAAGTAGCGTTTTTATACGTAACGGATACCGCAAGGATTTTTGACGAACAAGATTATTTTCTTTTATTTCATTTAATACACTTTAACGAGCCCTATTTTTATAAGAGAAGCTGAGTATCGGAATTGATGGGTTTTAATGATAGGATAATTAATCCTTTAATACTAGTACATTTGCACATCGATAATGGATAATTAAATGTTCTGAAGTATTAAATTGTTTTTAAACCAATTCGCATAAATGTAGTCTAATAGTCTGTTTCTAGTGATGAGTGCAAAAGTATGTTCCTTATTCATGTTATTTCGAACTGTCCTTCCTAGCAAGCCATTTTTGAGAGCTGCGTAAATACAGCGTCTCGTTAAAAGTGATATTAATTGATAAGTACTAATTTTATTTGAAAACGGCACATAAAAAACTGTAGACTACTTTCATAAAAAGTTGTATTTTCTAGAAAATCAATTTCGTAAATTAATATGATATAATATCCAAGGAACAGACATAAGAACGAAGCCGTATTCAATGTTGTATATCTATTCAGCTAAGATTCATATTTAATTTTTTTCATTTGATTCTAATTTTATTTATCTTGGACATTTTTCATTGCAGTGAATTATCACAGTTTTTTTGTATATATACACTTATCTCAACGTCTTGTGATCAACACAGATTTTTCCTACTTCCTTCTTAGAAAAGCAATCTTGCATCATCAGATGCTCTCTATGTTACTGTTACTTATGAAATATATGTAAAAAAAATGTTCAATATACAAATATTTCGAAAATTGTATCAGAACGAAAGCAGTTCACATATGTGATCTATATTGTACACATAAAGATATATTTGGATAGTAACAATTGATTTAACACTGCAACAATGATCGATACATTTCTATTGCCTAAAAGCTTTGAAGTAGGAATCGAACTGGTTCTAAAAACTTCAATTTTATAGGGTTTACGTTACACTCGATAACCGCATATTAATCCGACTTTCATAGTGCTCATCGATGACGTATCTCCCAATTTTTTTAAAATGTTCAGATCGTTATGAATACCATAAAATACAAATAGTTCAGTCGCACAAATATTTAGCTAACGGCATAAAAAGTAAAAGATACGTTATCGAATAAAATAAATAACTTTCGCTTCTATTCAACAGATCTTCATATAAATAAAAATCTCTATAATTTCCACAAACATTTCTCTAGAATTCTACAAAAACTGAAGCCAAACAGTAATCTATTCCTTTCATCACAACTTCTCTCATTACGATAGTAGCGCAAGACCTATTCCAGTCAAATTATTCATTTTGTTGTACTTTACAAAATTGCAATATAACTAAAAATCTGCAATCCTCAGATACGAAACACATAAAATCAGCGTGGCGGTGAATCAGGTCAACCTCTACAACTGTACGAAAACTGAAACCAAATACTAATCTATTCCTTTCATCACGACTTTTCTCATTACGATAGTAACGCAAGATCTATTTCAAAGTTCAGTAAAATTCTTTGTTCCATCATACTTTATAAAATTGCAATTCAACTAAAGATCGGTAGTCCACAGGCAGCGGACACAAAATTCGCGTGGCAGTGAATCAGCGTGAACAGTACCCAGCGAAACGTTCGGACATTCCGTGGCGATGTCGAGGCACGTACCGAGATACTTTTTCCACAATTAATTGATAACAGCTCGCGAGGGTATCATTCCCATCTCTACCGCGAACGAAATCGCGGCACGGTCGCGGAGAAAAGCCGGGAATAGAAGGTAGCTGCAATATCGGCGATACGTCAGGATGTCGAAGAGGGAACCAATCGTTTCTGGCGGAATTGGGCTCATAGCCACGCGTATATGCAACCGCGAAGGGAACTGGTTACCGACCGTGATTCGGTGAACGCGGAAAGTTCCCCAAAGAGGACCGTCGTAAGGCGCCTGGGCTCGACGCAGACGGGGAATACGAAAATAGTGCAAGGCGCTGCGTGGAGGCACGCCGCGCCGCGTTTGCCGGTGACACGCTAATTATGTTTTCCAATAGGAAAATGTTCCCCGGGCCTTTACCTTCGGGTATTCTAATTTCAAATTATCCCTATTTGTATCGTCTCGCACGTAAAACATTATGCAACCGTTTCTAGTCTTGTAGTATTGGTAGTAATTGATTATTAAATTTTGAAGTAATAGTAGTAATTAACTACCAAGCTTCGTGGTAATAGTGGTAATTGACTATTAAATCTCGTAATAATAGTAGAAATTAGCCATTAAGTCTCGTAGTTAGTAGTAGTAGTAGTAATTAACTATTAAATATGGTAGTGATAGTAATAATTAACTATAAAATATGTTAGTGATAGTAGTAATTAACTGCTGAGTCTTGTAGTAATAGTAGTAATGAATTATTAAGTTTTGTAGTAGTAATAGTAGTTAACCAGTAAATCTGGTGGTAGTAGTGGTAATTAACTACTAATATTCATAGCAATAATTCGATTAATTTCACACATAAAGAATGTTAACTCTTAGTTGCCGAACTTCGTTAAAAGATTTAGAGCTTTTTTGTTGTAATTGTTCTTTTGTTCTTTGTTATGAGTAACGATTTGATCATCAATTTGATTTATTTTGTATTTTGCTGTGAATGGTTTGATTAGTAGCACAGAAGACTAATTAAAATAGTGTGCAATAAAATTGCATCACTATATGTATCCGTAATCTAGGTTTAGACCAAAGTGCATATTATTCACTTTACTAAAGGTACATATATACATATGTTTATAAAACATGTATATATGTTATACAATATTTCACGATTTGTTTGTAGTTTTCCTTTTCCTTCAATATTCGACCTTTGACCTGAAAACAATAAGATGTATGATAAATGGTTCAATTAAATCATCATACAATATGATCGTTCATGTAGGTTGTATGATGCTCTGGTTGTACTATATGAGGTAGTTACGGTCGTAAGCAAATTTTTTGTTCTATGTGCAACTCTTTCTACGATGTATCATAATATCTGTCGGTCATTTATGACTGGTACTAAAAGACGTCTATAATAAAAAAAATATTTGACTTTATGGATTTGTAAATATTCAATAAAAATTTCATCGAACTTACGATATTCTATAAAACTACGGCACATGTTTGGATCAAAAATTTCAGTCACACTAATATCTGTAGCATCTTTATGGCATGTTTTGCGATCTATACAGAATAAAAGTTGAACAGAAACAGATTAATTGATACGAGAAATTATAAAGAAGTGTTTAAAATTGTACTTATTAGAAATTTATTGAATTGGCTTATGGAATTTATATTAGCTAATTAGGAATTAAAAAAAAAAGTTCCAGCATTTCGCAGTCGGTAGGACTCGAACCTACGCTCCCAGAGGGAATCTGATTTCTAGTCAGACGCCTTAACCACTCGGCCACGACTGCTTGTTCAATGGCGGATACTAATTATTAACAATTGTAATTTAAAGATATCAATTTTATATAAACCTAAAAAAACTATTGTTACAGATTACTTTTTAATATTTTCCATAATTTATTAATGAATATTCATAATTCTCTGTTCAAACCGAAAAGAATTATGGGTGAAACAAATGTTCATTTTATTAGATTCGATGACCATATATTTTCGCTTCTATAAAATTAACCCTTTGCACTTGAAAGGTGACTCTCAGTCACCACTTGATTTGAGACAGCAAAATTATGAAGTTGAATATTCAGTATTTTTAATTAAAATTATATTTTGCAATGTGAAGTATTTAAATAAAATAGCTTCGTTTCTTAATTTATCTGTGAATTCTCGTTAAATTAGTTTCAAACAATGTCGTCTATATTTCATCAGAAAATGTCCAAATATTTTTGAGAATATTTACTGAGAAACTTCCGAGTGCAAAGGATTAAAGAACATTTGGCAGCGTAATTAAACAGAAAATAATTTTTTATGCAATAATAAAGTGAAAAAAATACAATATTTACGATTAATCGTATTACAATAATACGATTATGAAAATGTTTCCAGTAATCAGTATGCACCTATTTATTTCATTTCTAATTCTACTGATGTTTATTAATGTAGGCCGCATTTAACGAGGATTATTATTAAAATTATAAGTTTTTATCATTTTGTCTGATTTATTATTCGTCCAATATACTAACGGAGTTCATTTTCTCTCGGAAACGGAACTTGAACGACCAGTATAATGTAAATTACACTTTTCCAGCTGTAATTTATAACTGTTACTGAAACCAACGTTGTCACCAAAGTAATAAAAACGGGTTTTCGTCGTGTACTCTTAGATCGCTTCCTGCATTCCGTCGATCTTGACCGATCGTTTCTCTAACCTTCGCGTCGAACTTTTCACGGTTTATTCTCCACGGTGTTCCACTGATCCCGTTTTAGTTTTGTGCTTTTTACCGCGACCTCGTTATTTATAGTGAGACGAATGCGTCAATCCGCGGCGCACGGAAAGGACTTTGTCTCGCGTTTGCAAGCATCGCATACTGTTCCAAAGGTCCAACAATAACCACATTATAAGCAACGGTCAAATGAGATAGTAATAAATTTAGATTTTATTTTGTACTTTTACCAAATCTTTCTTATTTATATTTCCAATTCTATAAACTTTATAGTTAAAGTTATTGGTAAATATTGTTTTTGACCGTTTTGTAATTGTAAAAAATTGTATAATACTAGCCTTAATTCTCGAATACAAAATACTCACAAAAACGTCACCCTTCTCTAAGGAATATTTTAATAATCGCTATTTCAATTTCTAAACCTAAACATCTTAATAGGTTTTTAATTAGCGCTCAAAACTCTTTCGATGTACGTAGTCGAATGTTACATATCATGTTATAAATGAAACACAAGTTAGAGTTTATACTTTAATTAAAAAGCAACATAACAACAGGTTAATTATACTATCATAAATATTTTTTCATACACAAACCACTTGAAAAGTAATCTAATACTAGACTTGAGAACATATTTTATACAGTTCATTATATTATTACTAAGAAAATTAATTATTCACTCATACAGCTCTTGGCAACTAGAGTTTCAAAAACAGAAAATTAGCACATGCACACATGTACTTGCATTAATCAAAACTGAAACTTTTCCTAAACAATATTCATAGAATTTAATATCCGTACAACTGACAAGTTCCCTAAATATAGTGTCAAAACGATACAGATAATTGACTCACCTTGTAAATGATCTTGTATAGTGTTAACGAAATTAGAATATTCAATGACCAAATTTTTTTTTGTGGGTATAACGTGTCCCAAAAAAGTCGGCGGTCCTTTTTTTAGGTCATTCGGTGCTTGGTAAGATGGTGGAAGTTTCCTGCAGAACTTTGCACGGAGAAAGTATAAGACCGAAGAAAGTGACAAGGATATCCTTTAGCCGTCGCGGCACATGGAACAGGTCGGTGTTAATACACACATTCCCTTTTCGCCTTTCTTTTATTCCTTTACACTTTTGTTATGTGCTTCACGTACAACTTGTCGCTCCCCGTTGTCTCTTTCACTTCGCCTTGATCTCTAACCGAGCTAGACGCCAAAAATCCCGCGAACATCGGAGTTCTCTTTCTTTTCTTTCAGTCATTCCCTCTGACTCCCCCACTTTTCTACCCTTCGCTGCTTCCCCTCTCGAAACTTTCATTAAAGTTTGTTGCACGGTTCAAGTGTGTAATATTAAGGATCGTTTTACGAGATTGTTTGCAAATCAGTTTTTCTGCGCCTGTTTGAATTGCATGAGAGGGAACTCGCTCCTTTTTTACCGTGCAGATCTTAGATAATCTGTGTATTAGCATAATTACTTAAACTAAGATTGCAATTAGCACCGGCTGAAACAAATCTGCCCCCGCGACAGTGATATTCGAGCTACATTAGTATGGTGATGCGGCTGGTCATTGCACTCGGATAATATTAATTTAGATGGAGTTATGAATTTTATTTTGTTCGCTTATTTCCTTGTTTTGGTAATGGGTTACTTTTGTCGTACTCTATTCTTAGCCATGCTGTCCTTCGGTAAATCATTTTAAGAATTGTTGATAAACAAGAATTAGCAGAATTGACACAAAATAAGCATTGAAGCTTAGATGGCAACGTATAAACAAGTAAATAGATAAATTTGTTGCATATAACACATAAAAATTCGATATTTTTAATAATAATAGAATTATTTAATTCAATAATAATAAAGTAATTTGTTTAAAGACTTACTTATGATGCCTACTGAATTCTTTTATTTCATAAAAAAATGAGCAAAGTATAAACTAAGAACATAATTTTTTAAATAAATATTTCTTTAATTATTATTGGATACATCTGTTTGGGCAAATTGCACAGATAAATTCTTATGGCTATAAATTTTCCATTACACAATTATTTTTATTATAAAAACGTTGTACAATTTATTATTGAATGAAAAATTGTAAGAAAATTGTAAGGTGCCAAACATAAATTTTCAAAAATATAAAGAGATTTCCTATCTGGAAAATAAAATATATATTTTAAAGAAACGCTGCATCACTTTTTGTTTTATATTATGGAATCACTGGATATTTAATACGAGCAAAGCAAGTGGAATCCGAAATGTAAATAAAATCGTTTGCGTAAAATGAACATCCGATTATTTGGTCCCTCCTCTTTGTAATATCAAATAAATTTAATTATATAAATTATCGAACTTATTCATTCTAGTGTTTGTATATAATAATTAAAATATTGTTGAAGACACTGTACACATTTTTCAAACGTATTCCCATTATATAAAATTTAATGATTTTCAAATATAAAACTTAATGATTTTCAAACTACGTGTATTAATCAAATTTATTGCCAAATGAAAAAAAAACTTTCAAATAAATTTGATCACATTTCGTGAAGTAAAGTATATGTATAGAGCACATATTTTTTTCTTTATTACTTCCCTTCGTCATAAATGAATATATGATGCAACTGAATTGCGGTTAATAATTCAAATATTGACTTTTCCGTTTTGTTGAAACAAGCAACAATAATTAGAATCGGCGTCTTAAAATTCAAGGAAAATATTTAATTATTGAACACCATCTCTGACAGTCTTTTTACGTAATTAATATTAAAATATTAAACGCATATATTTCATCAAGAGATCAATTAAAAAACAAACGTACAGCTAGAATAAACAAATATAATACTTTCTTCTTCCATTAAAAAATTATGTACAAATTGTAACTTTAGTATATTCACAAAATAAATCATGAAGCACAGAGTTAACCATATCTTTGGTTACATACTATATATTCACATGTACCTACTATAAATTCGTTTAAACTACAATCTCCATAAGCTATCATGATATATACTTATTTTACTGACAGTTTTTACAGTTGCAACATTCCACACTAAATACAACCTATTCCATCAATGACATATTTTAGAAAGTATAACAAAAAGAGTCTTTGATTATTTGAACATTAAGCTGTTCAAAGGAAATTTGGTATAAAATTAATTTTCACTTTTTCCGCGTAACATATAATTCGAAGAAAAAGGTGACGTGGTTATTTACAGGAATTTTCTCTACTTAAAAATGCTCTTTCACATGAATATTATTTCTGAGATATGCGGGTTGGAAAAAATCGAGCATCGAACCTCGGGTGATGGGTTGGAGCGGGCAAGTAAGGACAGCTGTTTCGCGCACATGTGGGCCTATTCGAACATCAGGCCCCACTCTGTTATTCGCTTCGGCGGCGAGGCTATAGCACGGATGCCACAGCACTATAGCTGTTTCCGGTACGGTCGTCCTTCGTGGAGTTTAGTATGGTTGCTCCGATTTGCACCGGGAGACACCGGGTTGAACCACTGGTTACGTTCGCCCGCATTCACCCTCAACTGTAATATCACAACTCGTTTGAAGTTTTCATCATTCATTCCACGATTTCGAAGGTTCATGCATTATGTACAGGCAATAAATTGTATCTACTGTTTGATCCAATATTTTATTTCCTCTTTTTTCTTATTAATTTCATACATCGGGGAACCGAAAAAGAATAGCAGTGCGTCATGTTTATAAATACTAGAACAACCGCACCCGTGACAATGACGGGTATTAGTTTTCTTATTTCATACTTATGGAAATTTTGAAAGTATTAAATATCCGAAATGATTTGAGAAATAACTAGTTTCATTTCAATGTTATAATTAATTTATGTGAAAATTGAAACAAAATATTATATATTGTTAAAATTTGTATCAGTTTACATTTTCAGATGTTCGGTTGTTTTAGTGTTAATACAAAAAAATTCGTCAATCAATTATTGCTTTCAATGTAAAAACTGGTTAAAATAATGTTTTTAAAAAAATAATGGAAAGATAGAAGATTATATAAACTTTTTATATTAATACTATTTAGTTTAATAGTTTCTTACAAGTTGATCTACCATAAACTGTGAAATTGAAATTGTTACGTTTTTGCGATTCAATCCTTGTTCCCTTATTTCGTAATTTATTCGTTGATTTGTCAAGGTTTAATATTAAAAAGTCATGTTAAGGGCTAATTGATGTCAGCAGTAATTAAATTGAAACTTGCTACCACGATACATATTATTTAGGGGGTAGAGAACAATATTAAATTTGTTTCCAGCTTCATTATAATTTTTAATTCACTGAACTTTATTCAGTAACATTTATTATACTATCTAAAGATCCGCGGTCTATTTAGTGCGGGTACTTTATTAAATTCCTTTAGCTCCGCTAAAATTCATTTATAATTTTATATTTATAATATAATAATTTTACCTTCTACACTGGAGTAATAATAAAATAACTTTTTATTTATCACAACTCAAGAAGCCCAATTTAAAATCGAGATTATTATTATCTTGCAATTTAATTATAGATTTCCAATTTTTCCTTAATTGATTGGATTCATCAAGAGTCAGTTTAAAAATTATATTTTCTATAAAAGTATTTTTAACCTCAAGCTACAATTTTAGATAATATTTTGCCTGATCTTCAACTAATATTACAAAAAGCTTATAAACTTTGAAAAAATAAACCAATTTTCTGTTCATAGCGTTTCAGGCAATTTTGAAATTAAATATGTCATCACACACGTATTTTTCACCTATTGATGTATCAAAATTTGTTACAAATGTTTCATAACATCCTATTGGTTTCCAGAAATATATAAATTGTCAACAAACCAAATTATTATTTTCTACATAGAAATGTTATCAAAATAATTTTGCATATGTTATATTTCTGAAAGGTAAAGCGTAAATGGAATCGTTATATTTCTACCAATTGCAGATCCGAAGATTCCCTGTCCTATAATTTATCGATTGTTCCATAAAGGCTTCGTTGATCCGACCAGTCGGCCGATGGAAGACAAACGTG